TTTGGGGTACGGGGGGAAACCCCGAAAACCAAAACGATTTCAACAAGAATTAAAAAAAAAAAAGCCAAACCTCTATTAGACTTATGTTTTCTAAATAATGTTGTTTGGGGCTAAATTTTACCTCCTTTGAGTATATTTAAGAGTTAAAGACAAGGGAGAAAAAATATTTCCATGTGTGATTTTTAAACCCTCCTTCCCCCCCCCCCCAAATCTGGAGTATTATAGAGATGAACTACAGAGCAACTCAAAAGGTGCTTTATATTACACTGTGATTATCTTTAAAAATCAATACCAACCTCATAGTCTTTTGTGCTTTGTTTTTTTTCGCCCTAAAGTGTTCCCCACAAAGAGATTACGTGATTCTCGCTATTCGAACACCTCCAAGAGAAGAGCAAAATGAAAGCAACAAAAATTATCATCCAAAATTGGCTGACATTGATGAAGAATGGGTAACAGGACATGCTAGTCAGGTAAACCACTTTCAGAAGATGTATAGTTAGTGTAAGAAATAAGTTTGAAATTCTTAACTTCAAATCTTAATTTTATGCATAAAAGAGTCTTCTCAAGAGTCCTTTGATGGCACTGCATTTGTTAATTGATCAAAACTTACACAACTACAACCAATATTAAAAGTAGTATATTTACGTCTTTTCTGCAAAGCAGGTGGCACTGTAGTTTTTGGGCACAAAACTTGCATGAAATATATGATGATAAAATGCAAGAATAGAGTATTTTTAAGTTAAGAGAATGTGAAGGTGAGAAATAGCCTTGCAGTTTATTTTACATCTGGGTTCTGATACCTCTTAAAAAAAATCCATAGTAAACCAAGTGATGTAGTTTATAGAACTTTGTAATCATAATAGTAATTAATAATTTGTTTTTCTGTTTATTTTGTAAGTTGTCTAGAATGCTCCCAGGAGGACTGCTAGTTCTTGGTGTATTTATTGTTGCAGCTCCAGAGCTGGCAAAAGACATCCAAAATGCTTTGCGCAAGGTAAGTGCATAGATAATGTCCACAGGAAGGAGCTGGTATTTTTTTTTTTTTTTTAATTTTGTGCAGCAGAGTAATTTTCTACCACTGCGGTCTTAGCTGTATTTATTAATTGGGTTCACTAAAACAGAAATCAAAAATATCCCAGATAAATGGTTTGCAGTAAAAGGTTGCCTGAATTTTTCAACATGGGCAAAACAATATATGTTTCTACAACATTATTCTTGGAAACATCTGTAACCATTTTGACTAAAATTTTCCCAAAAAAACCCACAAACAAAAATCAGCCTGAGGCAGACACCTGGCATATAAAATTACAGTCCCAGTGATTAAAGTTTGACAAAGCGCAACTGAAAAGAAGCTCTTATAATGGGAAGTGTGGGGCAGCTTTTATATTTGGCAGTGCTACCAGTCACACCAGTAACCTATATATCAGTGGAAGCATTATGATTGTTACTCAATATTGGGACAGATACTTCTGTAGATAACTTACCCAAGATGTGGCAAAGAACAAAATTTAAGTGATTCTTTCTTCTGTATTATTGTTATATAACTTTATTTGATGTATTGTCTTTTTCATACCAACTGTCTTCCAAATTGTCTGACAGAGTTAAATGGTTGAAGTGGGAACAGGAAATGTGGAGGCAAATGAGACTTTAAGTTTTCAGGTGTGGTCTGAAGAGACAGTTGATGAGATGGAGAGATATGAGAAAGCTGTTGCAAATATCAGAAGCTGCAGGGAAGGCAGTCAGATTGTATTGAGAAACTGAGAGAAGAGGAAGGTGAAGAAAGAAACCAGGTCTATGAGCGGGGCATGAGCAAGTCTATGAAGAGTTTTTTAAAACGTGCAAAATGAATTCAGTCAGTAGATTGTATTGTTTTGAAGATTTGTATGATAGTGGTTGTGCTGCTTTGTACTGTAGCATGTACAGAAAGCTGCTGTTCAATGTAAAGTCTGCATATTAGATATTTTCATTAACATCATCTCCAGCTCTTGAGTCTTTCATATGTGATGGTGCAGCCGTTAAACGTCTGAAACAACCTAACTAAAACCACGTATTTTTAGTTCCTGTACCATCTGAAAATGGGATGATCTGAGACGAGCCAACCTTCAGACTGTCCGATTTCATGTTAAATTATAATTTAAAAGCCATAAAGCCCTTGGAAAATGGATGCTGGCATCGGAGTGGCAGTTCCCAAGGGTTTGCACTAATCTTTCTATCAGTTTCAGTTTGTATATTTGCAGCCTGTGCATTTGCAAATATTCAAGTTTTGATTCTATTATAAAGTGTTATACAGCTGAGAAACTGACCTATAGCGAAAATGACATGCTATTTTGCTTTAAAACTGAAATACAGGGCTGTATTATAACTACTTGCTTAAATTTTTGTTTGTGCTATGAAGAAAAATCCTTTAACATTTTTTTCTTCTTCAGCTACTTTTTTCAGTAGAAAAGTCTATAATTAAAAAGAGGCTCTGGAATTTTACTGAGGAGGAGGTCTCTGACAGAGTGGCTCTTCACGTTTGTTCTGCTACAAAGAAGTATCCTTCTATAGCAAAAATATAATGTAGTCTTTTGATACAGTGTATTGAAATTTAATATAGGGCAGGATCTATCTAATCTGTCTGGTCTAATTGTATACTTATTGCCTCCCAAAAACTTTATTATCTTTGTGTCAAGGGTTGCTAGGATGGATATTCCATTAACACAAATCATAAAAAGCAAGGCATCTGCTCTGCACTCAATTTATCAGTTCCCCTGCTCCTGTCTTTCCACCATTCACAGCCCACATTTCCACCCTCACTCTGCTCAACCGATGTGCAGCCATAACTTTTGAGCATGTTTACTAGTTATATGGTCATGCATTTTGATTGATTTTAGGGTTGGTGTGGCCTTGGTAAATTACATTATATTAATTTTTGTATGATGCATGTAAATAGGTGGGTATAGTGTCCGATTGCAAATAGTAAATGCAGGATGTTTTTCTGTTACATTTTATATGAAAGGGTAATCTCTATTTGGTAGTAATTTTCATGTAGAAGTTACACTAGTGCACACAGATTTCTATTCTATGTTACATTTATTGTCGGAGTTGAAGGCTATACACTGGTTGTTCAGAATGAGGATAAAGATATTGGGGTTTCTATTGGTGGAAGGAAGTTGAGGAAAAAGAGGTCAGCAGGGAGGGGCCTGGATGTGGAAGCACAAGGGAGTAGAGATCTCTTTTAATAAACCACTTATGGCTCATCAGAAAGGAGAGCCTCTTCCCAGCAACATCTTCAGGTTTTCCCTTGCACTCTCTATGCATATTGCTACTTCTCACCTGCTCCGCTACTTCACTCCCACATTCAGTTTGTAAAAGTGATGTTCTTGTTTTAAATATCAAAGGCAACCAAAATAACATCTGATGTCTTTCTATGTGGCACTGTAATAATCAATCTTTAAACTATTTTTTATTATGGTGGGGAAATAACAGGCATGGTTGGAAGAATGTTGTGGGTCAGTGAAATAGCTGTGCAGGTGAGGATCATGGGGAAGAACTGAGGCTCAACAGATTTATGGGGGAGAAGTGTTGCTCTGGAGGAGGCCAGGAGAGAAAGCACAATTGTAGAGAAGTATGGGAGACATCAGGGCTTGCAGGTGAAAATACATATCACCATTGGTAGCTATCTATGTGAATAGCTATCAGTGTTGATACATATTTGAAAAGCAGTTACATCATTCCTGTAGTACTTGTAGTTTACAAGTGAAACTTTTTTTTTATTCCCATCAATGTGAGAACATTCTCTACAATATTAAAAACTTGGTTCTGAAAAATAAGAAGATAGTAAACATAGATGATAAACTACAAGTTAATTTAAAATATTTGTTTATTTGTTCCTTTTAAGTATATTTCATTGAATTTTTTTCCTTAATTAGTAAAGGATACTTTGTCGAACCTATGATATGCAAGATCCAAAGGTAAGATTGACTACTGTATTCAAGACTTATAAAGTTCAGAAGAAATGGATTTTATTTCAGATTTGTAACATTGTATTAAGCCATATATTTGTTACATTTTAAAAATAAAACCCTGCTTTTCCTCCCAGAGTTCAGCGAAGCCAGCAGACTGGAAGTACCAAAGTGGCCTGTCTGCCTTCTGGCTGTCTTTGGAATGCACAATTAATGTTAATATCCACATCCCACTTTCTGCTACATCAGTCAACTATGAACTAGAGAAAAATACAAGGGTAACTAAACAATAACAATACAGTATTTCTTACTCCTTTAATATTGTACATACTATTGTACTGCTTAGAAATGAATAATGTGTTATGAAAATATGGAGTAGATAGGGGAATAGAATTAATGATTTGTTACTGGTAGTTAAATCTATAAGGTAATAAGTTCCTTATGCACAACTCACTTGCTGCATTAAGCATAAAAAAGCATAAGGAGATGAATCTTTCAAGATTTTTATTTTCCTGTGTCTATTTAATTTAAATTATTCAGAAACATTATTAGGAATGTGTAAAGAAGATAGCAGCTTTCCTTTTTCTCTTCATTCAGTGCAGGATCTGGTTTTGATAAGATTTGAAAATGGGGTGCTCTCATTGCCCATTCACTATTAATAGGCCCCACCCCTATCTTATGGAAAAATAAAATCCAGGTGTCATGTCCTCAGTATAGGTGGTTATGCAAATTAGCTTTATTTTTAGGCCAATAAAGATTAAAATTAATATTTCTATTTACTTTAGGAAATGTAGATTAAGAGGTGTCTTGTGAGTAGTATGTTGTCCATCAGTATGATACAGATGGATGAGAGGTCTGAAATTTGGTTAGGATTTGTTAATGTCTTTCTTTGGCTAATGATTTAAATATGCATTACAGTAGTTTTGGAGTGTTGGTGGGGTTTGTGGCAATATTCAAAAGTGTAGTTTATTTTTAGAGATGCTTTCTTCCCAAAATATATACTTACAATCTTTCTGTGTTTTTGGTTTTTAAAGAACGGATTAACCCGGTGGGCAAAACAGATAGAGGAAGGTGTTTTTCTGATCAACGGGCAAGCTAAAGACGATGACACAGAGCTATTGGAAGGGCAGGTGTGTGCTGTATAGCATGGAATTAATATCCAGGTGTCACTCAAAATGTCTGGTATGGTAATATTAGTGGCTGAAAGGTCTTCTGTAGAATATTTTACTTCTAACTGGCATGTGCCATGTACTTAATGTAAAGGATTGCTTTTCTCTTACATAAAAATGGCCATACTGGGTCAGACGAAAGGTCTTTCTAGCCCAGTATCCTGTCTTCCAACAGTGGCCAATGCCAGGTGCTTCAGAGGGAATGAACAGAATAAGTAATCATCATGTGATCCATCCCCTGTCGCCCATTCCTGGCTTCTGGCAAACAGAGGCTAGGGACACCATCCCTGCCCATCCTGGCTAATAGCCATTGATGGACCTATCCTCCATGAACTTATCTAGTTCTTTTTTGAACCCTGTTATTGTCTTGGCCTTCACAACATCCTCTGGCAAAGAGTTCCACAGGTTGACTGTTTATTGTGTGAAGAGATGCTTGCTTTTGTTTGTTTTAAACCTGCTGCCTATTCCCCACCCGTCCTTGAAGCAAAAAAGAGATGATTCTAGCAGTAGTGAAAAGAAGGATAAGTTAGGGAGGACTGGTGCATAAGAACTCTGCCCATATGCTGAAGATTAGATTGACTTTTATGGGTGACTTCAACAGCTTTATTGCTGTTGCAGTTTTTGGAGGTAAAGAGCGAGCCACTCAAGAAGATTCTCATGAGATCATCTAAAACTATGCAGTTGTTTTGGTACTAAAACCACTACTAATAATTTTTTCCCAAAGATTCCTAACATTTAGTTAACTGTGTCCTTAAGGTTGTTTCGATATCTCAATTTTCTTTCGAAAATCTACAAACGGGTACTACAGTGCTACGGGCCAGTGGAGCACCTAGATATGGTAGATACAGATAAATGCTCTATATATTTCATATACCATTTTTTCCTTTCTTTTATCTCAGAAAAAGTCTTCAAGAGGAAATATTCAACACAGTATTCAACCCTTTGATGTGAAGGTTCTGACGCAATTGGTAAGCATTGTGTGTGGAAAATGCCAGTAAAGTTAAGTGCAGTATTTCAAAAAGCTGTATTCTCAGATGCCTAATCTAAAAAAGGGACATGAAATAAAAATTGAAAATGTGTTTTTTTTTTTTTTTTTTTTAAATAACTACTTCCCACTATAGGGAGTAATTCTTGTTCATATTAATATAATCCTGGTACTTAGGGACTTATCCAAGTTATTGACTTCAGTGGGAGTATCGGGTCCTGATAGAGCACCTAACATTTGAGGATGGTGTAGTATAGTTGGAGGGGAGGGAAATTGAGGCCTAGAGATGTCAAATTCTGTAAACTGCTCATCTTGGACAGAATCCTGCACCTACAAGGCTCCATTTACTTCAGTGGAGCTTTGTGTGGCGGTATGGGATAACATGCACGAAAAAGGTTTATAGATCTTAAGGCCAGAAGGGAACATTGTGCTCCTCTAGTCTGACCTTCTATATAACACAGACCATAGCATTTTTATCAAGTGGTTTCTGATTCAAGCCCATACCTTCTGGTTGAGCTAGAGCATATATCTTTTAGAACACTGGCTCTCAACCTTTTCAGTCTACTGTACCCCTTTCAGGAGTCTGATTTGTCTTGTGTACACCCAAGTTTCACCTCACTTAAAAACTACTTGCTTACAAAATCAGACATAAAAATGGAAAAGTGTTGCAGCGCACTATTACTGACAAATTGCTTACTTTCTTTTTGCCATATAATTACAATATTTACGTTCCTATTGATTTATTTTATATTGAGCAGTATAAACAAGTCATTATATGAAATTTTAGTTTATACTGACTTTGCTAGTGCTTTTTATGTAGCCTGTTGTAAAAGTAGGCAAATATCTAGATGAGTTGATGTACTCCCAGAAGACCTCTGAGTACCCTCAGGGGTACACATACCTCTGGTTGAGAACCACTGTTTTAGAAGACAGTCATACAGTCTGATTTTAAAGACTTCAGGTGATGAAGAATCCATTACGTTCCTAGTTAAGTTGTTTCAGTGGTTAATTTACTCTCCTTTCCAAAAAAAAAAAAAAATGCCAAAAAGTGCCTTATTTCAAATAGCTTGTGTGATCAGGGCCCAAGTGGCCTGTTGAAGGTTACACACAATTCATGACATCTTTAAATTTAATCAAAATAGTAATAATGCAAGTTATTTTTCTTGTGAGACATGCCTATTTATGCTCTATACAAAGGGAAGATGTTTACAGTCAAGCTATCAGTCTCCAACAATATTGTTTATACTGGAATCACTAACTGTTCTGTGAACGTCTTTGGGGTAGTCAAGGGAGAGCATCTGACTGTAGGGATTTTCATAATGGTCTCCCTCTTGCCACAGAAACATTATAGTTTGCCCTAAAATAGGTTAAGGACTCCATGGATATTAGCTTTGATATGACCAGATAAAATATCTCTTCCTAATTAATTCTAGGACTGGTGGATGACTCTGCTTTAAGAAAAATACTCAAACACCACAACGTAGATATTCTAGATTATACTTACTAATACAGTAAGTAGACAAACTTTCTGTCACTTAAAAAAAGGCTTCAAAAAGTAGTGTACGAGGGAGGCTACTGGGAAGATACTGTATTAATATTAGCAATAAGCTGTTTGAAAATAAAATTAATTCTATAGCCCTAATATGTGCAAAATGCTTACATTTTTTAGTTGAAACAGTAGTGATCAAACTTCAAAAACAAGCAGAGGGAGCTATTTTCACAACCTTGCTAGTATCACTATTGATGTATATTTGCATGCTGATGAGAAGTAAACATAAAATACATTAATTGCAAGAAAGTATAGGTTCCTGGAAAAGCAAATTTTAAAGAGTTTACCAACTGGAAAAGGACAAAACTGTTAAGACAGATCTTCATATTTACATTACTTGCTAAAAGGTATAAACTGTGAGGGGGAAATAACACATTTTACCAAGTACTTAACATTTTAAGTGCTGTTAATTGAAATATGTTGTGGCTTCATGACTGACCATATTGCAGATGCATAGCTAACATTATGATTGAAATGTGTTTATCTTTCAGTCCCAGAGTTCAGGCCATAGATCTACAGCAACAGTGCAAGTCTGCAGTGGTTTCATAAATCTTAAAGGTGCTGTGAAATGCAGAGCTTACATCCATAATAACAAGCCAAAAGTTAAAGATGCTATTCAGGTATTGAATGTAGTGATCACTCTCCTTCATTGCTTTTCCCAAATATTTTACTGGAACCATAAAATTATTGTTCTACCTTTGCCTTTGGTAGGATAATAGAGGTCCAAATTGGGCTCCAAAAATTCTGAACTCCAGACAGCTAGAGTGATAGTTTGGAATTTTTGGAAGTCCTTTTTATTGTGCAAGAAAATAAATTTTTCAAAAGTTTAATTTTATTTAGAAGCAGTTCATTTTAGGTCTCTTCTAGTGGTTTTTTTGTCCTCCTAAGAAATCCTAACTTACTCTTAGTCTAGTGGTGGTAATGCTTGGTGTAAAGTTTTCTTAAAATTAAAGGAATGACTTTTGTATGTTACGTATTTTTGTACTTACTGTAGGCAGATTAGATATTCCAGCTACTGTCTTCAAATGTACTTAAAGGATTAGTACTTCTAAATCAAAGTGATCTTTTCTGTTGTCCTGCTACACTTCTAATATTGTCCAAAAAAGTACTGAACATGACAGTCAGTATTTTTCCATGTTGCAACCTTCTGCGTGGTAACAGATCACATGTTTTGAAATCATACATATAATCTCCTACTTCTGTTTGTAGTTGCTATATGCCGATGGGAGAAAGCTGTCCCATTGACATAATTAAATCTCCCCCAACAAGGGGCAGTAGCTATGTCAGTGGGAGAGTGTGTCCCGCTGACACAGTGCTGTCCACACTGGCGCTTCTGTTGGTGTAACTTATGTCGCTCAGGGGGGTGTTTTTTCATACCCCTGAGTTACGTAACTTATACCGACAAAAGGTGCTAGTGTAGACATAGCCAAACTAAAGACAAAGGATAAAATTCAAGCCCCATTGGACACTGCACCCACAAAGTGTGTAAGAGTTTTGCCATAATCTTGTCCCCATTAATGTTCATAATTAAAATACATTAAAATCAATAATACAACACAGAGAATATTGTGACTTGATGAAGCAGGTTTTATAAATTTAACATTACTAACTTTTGACTAGAAACACCTTTTTAAAATCAAACTAGCATTCCGAATAACTAAAAAGCACTATAAACAGTTAACTTCTATTTCGTTTAACAAAAGGAAACCCCCTAACCACATAAAACAGTTTTATTTAACATACCAGTTACAGTAACAGTCTATATTGTACTCTAATTGGTTTTGATGGAGTGAGTGGTTTTAATGCAGGAGGCGCGTATGTGAGAGCAGTATTTGTCTCGATAGCCTAATTATTCTATCACAGCTTTCTGTGTGGAGTGCCAAGCACTTCGGACATTAATGAATTAAGGCTGTCTACACTATGAAATTAGGTTGATTTTATAGAAGTCAATTTTTAGGAATCGATTTTATACAGTCGATTGTGTATGTCCGCACTAAGCGCAATAAGTCGGCGGAGTGCGTCCTCACTACCGTGGCTAGCATCGACTCACGGAGCGGTGCACTGTGGGAAGCTATCCCATAGTTCCCGCGGTCTCTGCTGCCCATTGGAATTATGGGTAAGCTCCCAATGCCTGATAAGGCAAAAACATTGTCGTGGGTAGTTTTGGGTTCATGTCGTCACTCTCTCCCTCCCTCTGTGAAAGCAGCTGCAGACCATCATTTCGCGCCTTTTTTCCTGTGTTACCCGTGCAGACGCCATAGCACGGTAAGCATGGAGCCCGCTCAGCTCACCGCTGTTGTTGCAAGCATTGTAAACACTTTGCTCGTTATACTGCAGTATGTGCAGAACCTGGCTAAGAGACGGCAGCACGAGGATGATTGTGATGAGGACATGGTAACAGATGTTCCTGAAAGCACGGCTGTGGCAATTGGGACATCATGGCAGAAGTGGGGCTGGTTGATACAGTACAATGCTGATTCTGGGCCCGGCAAACAAGCACAGATGGGGGGACCACATAGTGTGCAGGTATGGGATGATTCCCAGTGGCTGCGAAACTTGCGCATGCCTAAGGCCACTTTCCTGGAACTCCGAGTTGTTTTCCCCCACCCTGAAGCGCCAGAATACCAAGATGAGAGCTGCCATAACTGTTGAGAAGCGAGTGGCGATAGCTCTGTGGAAGCTTGCAATGCCTAACTGCTACCGGTCAGCTGGGAATCAATTTGGAGTAGGCAAATCTACTGTGGGGACTGCTGTGATTCAAGTAGCCAATGCAATCACTGACGTTCTGCTATCAAGGGTAGTGACTCTGGGAAATGTGCAGGCCATAGTGGATGGCTTTGCTGCAATGGGATTCCCTAACTGTGGTGGAGCGATAGATGGAACGCATATCCCTATCTTGGCACCGGACCACCTTGCCAAACAGTACGTAAGCCACAAGGGGTACTTCTCAATGGTGCTGCAAGCACTGGTGGATCACAAGGGACGTTTCATCCACATCAACGTGGGATGGTTGGGAAAGGTGCATGACGCTCGCATCTTTAGGAACTCCGGGCTGTTCGAAAAGCTGCAAGAAGGGACTTTGTTCCCAGACCAGAAAATTACCACTGGGGATGTTGAAATGCCAATAGTTATCCTTGGGGACCAAACCTACCCCTTGCTCCCATGGCTTATGAAGCCATACACAGGCACCCTGGACAGTAGTAAAGAGCAGTTCAACTACAGGCTGAGCAAGTTCAGAATGGTGGTAGAATGTGCCTTTGGATGTTTAAAAGTTTGCTGGCGCTGTTTTCTGACTAGGTTAGACCTCAGCGCAACTAATATTCCCATTGTTATTGCTGCTTGCTGTGTGCTCCATAATATCTGTAAGAGTAAAGGGGAGACGTTTATGGCAGGGTGGGAGGTTGAGGCAAATCACCTGGCTGCCAACTTTGAACAGCCAGACATCAGGGCGATTAGAAGAGCACAGGTTGCTGCACTGCGCATGAGAGAGGCTTTGAAAACCAGTTTCATGATTGACCAGGCTACGGTGTGACAGTTGTGTGTGTTTCTCCTTGATGCAAACCCGCCCCCTTTGTTGATTTTAAGTCCCTGTAAGCCAACCACCCTCCCCCCGTTCGATCACAGCTGGCAAAGGAAATAGTCACTATTGTTTTGAAACCATTCTTTCTTTATTAATTAAAAAAAAAAAAGGAGATAACTGATAAGGTTTCCAGGGTGGAATGGGGGAGGAGGGAAGGACAAGGCCACATTGCTTATTGTAGCCACACTACAAATCAAAACTGTTTGAATGACAGCCTTCTGTTGCTTGGGCCATCCTCTGGGGTGCAGTGGCTGGGTGCCCGGAGCTTCCCTCCCCGCGTTCTTAGGCGTCTGGGTGAGGGGATATCCAACTTGGGGAGGAGGGCAGGCGGTGGTACAGTGGATGCAGCGGCGGTCTGTGCTCTTGTTGGCTTTCCTGCAGCTCCACCTGATGCCTGAGCATGTCTGTTTGCTCCTCCATTAGCCTCAGAATTGCATCCTGCCTCTGCTCATCGCGCTCTTAATGCTTTCCTGGACTCTGCCACTGAATGCCTCCATGCATTCAGTTGTGCCCTATCAATGCGGGAGGACTGCATGAGCTCGGAAAACATGTCCTCGCAAGTGCGGTTTTTTTCGCCTTCTAATCTGCGATAAATTCGGGGATGGAGATGTTACGGGGAGCATAGAAACATTTGCACCTGCAGGGGGGATAAAAAGGGAGAGTAAAAGTTAAGATGAGAACATTTCTGAGAACAGAAGGGAGACTCTTTCACAGTGAAACAAGCAATTCACAGCAGACAGCACATGTGCTTTAGGTAGAAGGTCGCATTTTGCCTTTTATATTGAGTGCCTGCCGGTGTGGTGACACATCACACATGGCTGGGCAACAGAATTTGGTTTCCAGGCAGCCATGGTAAGCCAAAGGGTATGCTGGGTTGGCTTCTTCCGCCTTCATAACATGTGGGAATGGTTTCAAACTGCAGTGCCCTCCTTTCCCATAGCAAGCAATGCCGGTTGGGTTTGCCGTTTAAAAGGAGGGGCTGTGGTTTTCAGGTGCATGTGCAGCACACGCTTCTTCCCACCCCTCCGCGTGACTATTTGGGATGATCCCTTCATCCCTCCCCCCACCGCGTGGCTATTCTCAGGGATGATCCCTCTTAGCCAAGCGCAAACAGCCCAGCATGAACGGGGTCCTTTTACTGTTCCCTTACAAAAATTCCCCTATTTCAACCAGGTGGCCATGAATGATATCACTTTCCTAAGGCTAACACAGAAAGATACAGACTGAACGTTGCTTGAATGCGACCAAAACCCAGGACCATTTGCTGCCATGCTTTGTTCTGCAATGATTCCAGGCTACTTGCTACTGGCCTGGTGTGGTAAAGTGTCCTACTGTGGAGGATGAAATAAGGCAGCCCTTCACAGAAACCTTCTGCAAAGTTTTCAGAGTACCTCCAGAAGAGCTTCATGGAGATGTCCCTGGAGGATTCCCGCTCCCTCCCCAGACACGTTAACAGACTTTTCCAGTAGCTGTACTGGCCGCAAACGCATCCCAAGTCTTCAGGGCAAATCAAACATTTAAACACTATTGCTTTTAAACCCTGTAGTGTAGTTACAAATGTGCACTCACCTTCTCCGCCTTCAGGGTCAGGGATCCTGCCTTGGGGGATTTGGCTCCAGAGTGATGAAAAGGTCCTGGCTGCCGGGGAGAAGAGATTCACCGCTTGCCTGCTGCATATTCTCCTCCTCCTCCTCTTCCTCATCCACAAAATCCTCCTCCATGTTGTGTGAGACTCCCCCCTTGCAGGTGTCCATGGACAGTGGTGGGGTAGTGGTAGGGTCCCCCCCTAGAATGCAATGCAACTGATCATAGAAGTGGCATGTATGGGGCTCTGACCCAGAGTGACAGTTTGCCTCCTTTGTTTTTTGGTAGGCTTGCCTGCCCTGTGCGATTTTTGGCATATGTATTAGCATTTCTTCTTTTTGATCGGAGTTCTGCCTGCACAGATTCTTCTCCCCATACAGCAATCAGATCCGGTGTCTCCTGTTCGCTCCATGCTGGAGCTCGTTTGTGATTCTTGGGGGACTGCATGGTCACCTGTGCTGCTGAGGTCGCCACACTGACCAAACAGGAAATGAAATTCAAAAGTTCCTGGGACTTTTCCTGTGTACCTGGGCTAGTGCATCGGAGTTGAAAGTGCTGTCCAGAGTGGTCACATTGAAGCACTCTGGGATCGCTCCCGGAGGACAATAATGCCCATTTGTTTCCGCACTACCACAGATTCGACCCAGCAAGGTCGATTTTAGCGCTACTCCCCTCGCTGCGGAGGAGTACGGAAGTCAATTTTAAGAGCCCTTTATGTCGATGTACGGGGCTGCTTGTGTAGACGCGTTCATTATAAAATCGACCTAACTCTGTAGTGTAGACCAGGGCTAAGTTTCTCAAAATCATTGTGGAAATAGGCAAGTTTTAAAGAGAGCCTGTAACTTGGCTAAGAGGACACAGGAAATCTGTGGTAGAGCCAAGAATATAACCCAGTCTCCTGAGTTTGGTCATATGCTTGAATTTCAATATTTAAGCTTATTTAAAAGAGATAATAACAAAGCCACACTTGATGATTTGTTGTTATGTTAGGAAAACTGAAAGGGAAAAAAATTTTTTTTTTTGGTCAGGCTTTTTTTTTTATTCCTGTTTTTTATATTTTGATTTTGTTAATACATATCACTGTTAAGTTGGCCTAAATGCATAGGACAAACTGAGACTTTTTTTTTTTATACACACTGTTTGTTTCTTGATAATCACAAATACCTTGCAAACTGGCTGGCATGGTGTTTATTGTGTTTTTTGTTTTGTCCTTGCAGGCTTTAAAGAGGGATATAATAAACACACTCTCTGATCGTTGTGCAATATTGTTTGAAGATCTGCTTATAAATGAGGCACCCGACAAAAAAAGTAAGAGCCTAGAGAAGAAAGCAAATTATCTTTTTCTAATGTAATTTGCCTTTTGATTTCCTGGAGTTCCTTACTGATAGTCATCAGGATTCAATCTGCAGTACTGAAATCTGGGTGTAGTTAGAGGGAAACAAAAGTGTATCAGGCAACACAAATTCTATTTGTCACTCCTTTGCCTCTTTTTTTCAGCTGTCCAGTTCAGAAGGATTTCATTCAACTTCAGGCATTGTTTTTTCGGCCTGCATTTTCCCCCTATAATGTTTATTAAATGCCTTCTTGCCCTGAGTGTAAATTAAACTTCCACTTTATTCCCTTCTTGGCATAACTGACCCTGAGTACAGTAAGGTTTACCCCATAGTCTTGGACGCAGCATCAAGATCTCTAATACAGAAGGGCTTTGATACTTAGTCAGAATCAGCCAATTATTTTTGTGATGTCCCCACCCAATAAACAATATACTGAACATGGCAAGTTTCAAAAAGGAATTATCCATATCCTAACTATTAGAGATCTGGAGGAAACCTAATATGCGGAACAGACCATACCACATTTGCCTGCAACAGGAGTCTTACACCTTACTCTAAAGGAGGGGTGGGCAAATTTTTTGGCCTGAGAGCCACATCAGGGTTGCGCAATTGTATGGAGGGCTGGGTAGGGAAGGCTGTGCCTCCCCAAACAGCCTGGCCCCTGCCCCCTATCTGCCCCCTCCCACTTCCCGCCCCCTGACTGTCCCCCTCAGAACCCGCAACCCTCCCTGCTCCTTGTCCCCTCACCACCCCCTCCCGAGACCCCCGCCCCCTACTCACCCCTGTCCCTTGATTGCCCTGACCCCTATCCACACCTCCACCCCCTGAAAGCCCCCCCCACCCCCCCCGGGACTCCCACCGCCTATCCAACCGCCCTCTGCTCCTCGTCCCCTGACCACCGCCCCCCGGGATCCCACCCCCTTATCCAACCCCCCTGCTCCCTGTCCCCTGACTGCCTTCCCGACCCCATCCACATCCCCGCCCCCTGACAGGCCCCGACAGGCCCCCCGGGACTCCCAC